GAGGAATCAAAGGAAAACCCTCCATAGATTTTGAGAGTGCTCTGGAACTACAGCTATGAAGAGACAAGAGGAAACCAAGACAAAGAAAGTTAATGAAGCTTGCATGGAGGAAAGAATAGCTGAGACACAAAACAGACTGACCGGACATGCAAATAACATCATTGAAAGACCACCACAAAAATACCTATAAACACCTTCACCTCCCAAAACTCTTCCTTCCACAAAGGCAATTACCAGAGGGATGTTACAACCTTCTTCCCCTGGAACAGAAGATGTACCGCCCTCCTCTTCAGATGCCTTGCTCATCCTGGGGAGCTGAGAACCCTTGTCCTTAATGGACAAGCCACCACCCATTTCTGTATCAACTAAGGTATTTTCTGACAAGAGAACTTGTTACCTTCAACATAAGGGAAAAAACAAAGTGTTCCTGTTCACTTCACACATGCTTAACTCAAGCACATGCTTCACTGCTAAACTGAACAGGAATGACTTAAGCATATGCTTAAATGCTTTCCTGATCCAGACCCTAAAAATAGGAAAGGTTTCTGCAGTTCCTCTTTTCTCTTGTTCTCCTAATGACAGACAACTATTGTGCCATGTCATTATGACAATAAGATAGCTTAATTGCCCTCTTTCCAGAAGCTGTCAGTTCTGCTTAACTGGTACATAATGTATGCGTCTGGGAGTAAATGTGTTAATGCATCAGTCACTTATATCTACCATACGTTTTCCCTGCTGCATTTAAAGAAAGCTTTGGTTTTTATGACCGACTTGCTAGACATTACACACACCTCTATGGGCAGCAGTAATATTACCGTCTTATGACTTGTTTCTTTGTGAAAGATACACAAAATAACTTTCCCGTTCTCCATTTACTGTACTTTTTCAACTCCTATACTTAAGGTGTGGCCTCCCCAAAAATGACAGTGTAAAATGAACCACCTGTTCCTAACTGTTCCTGTAACTGATCAGGAGGGATGAATGAAAATGTTTGGAAACATCTGTAGTTGCTTTAGAATATTTTGCGTATTGTTATCTGCAAGAACATAGACATCAAAAGCACACAGAGAAGAATAAAAATCAACAATATCTACAACATGTAATAAGCAGCTATGAACTGAAAGCCTTTAACTCTCTAAGAAGTACTGGTGCAGTCAACCTAAACATAAAGCCAATGCAAGCTGGCTCAATTCTGTTTCATATTCCTCGTTCTGATCATGATTATTACCAAGTTGCCTCTATATTCCCTCACTGCTTCTTTTGTCTTGTGCACTTATTTTTCCTTCTACAGTCTCTCATTAAATTGTGAGCTAGAATACAAAGACTAAATAAACACTGTTTATGAGTCTGTATGCTGCTATATTAACAAATACACCAATGGCATTTTTTGTTTGCATTAGTAATACCTTCCTGTTGAGAGAAATGTTACTTGCAACTCACACATGTACTTTTGAGAGCCTTCAGAGATGGCCGTGAAGACAAAGAGGGAGGGAGAAAAAACAATAGCTATATGAAAAATAGAATAAATCTGGCAAGAAAAATATAAAGCTTAGTAAGACTTGAACATGCAGCTTGCTTTGTTCATTTAATCCATTTTTTCCTGTTTTCCTACCAATACTTCTGCTTTTAAACCACTAAAGCATGCTGATACTTCTAACCAGTCTGGCTGCAGGTTTCCAAGACTATGGAAATAAGTAAAGCCATGCTGGCTCCAGCTGATATAACACAGGTGAGATGCAAAAGTGCTGAAATGTACTTGGTGTGGAAGTGGCAGAGTCACTGTTTCCTCTCAAGTGAAGTGGAAGCCAAAGCATATTGCCAGGGAAAGTGAGCTGGCAGCAAGTACAGGGACAAGAGTACACAGTGCACAGATATTTGTGACACATTCTGCTGTTAATAATCCATTAGTACAACTGCTACAGTTCATAAATCAACTGTTACATACAGATGTGAATGGGTTGCACGTGTCTGACCAGAACTGAAGTTGTCATTTCTACTGGAAATTAAGATTTGAATCCCAAACTAGGAGTTGCTTCCAACCTTTTTCCTAATGTTACATAAGTGCCACATAAACATTTTTCTTCCTAAGAAAGATCACGATAGAATGAAAATTCTCCAGACGCTGGTTTTTCCCTCTCCAAAAAATCCATTAATATATTAATGAAATTCACATTTTTATTTAAAATGTGACTCCTCCCTCCCCCAATGATGTCACTACATACAAAACCACACTAAATGTCTTTGCTTATGAAGTAAGAATAGCTGGATAGCCAAGGTTACTACATGAAAAGCACTGATCACATTTCCATTTATAGGAGACAGCATTTCTTTTGATTTCACTGATACTTGTTCGCAGATGTAGTATGCTAAAAACATTTCCCACATCAGTAACTACCTAAGAACTTACTTAGCTTTTTGAATCCAGATGCAATAGTCTGTAATGAAGAGATCATTCAGGATGTAGGCAGGGTCATTCTCCATAAAAATCTTGTGAATGTCCAGCAGACACTTCAAAACTGCAGCTTTTCCTGGAAATAGATTTTTACCTTTTAATTCACTAGAAATCATAGATAATCTTTACCACTTTCTCACCTTTGAGACTTTAATAACCATACTGTCTACAACCATCTTGTTCCTTTAAGTTGATTGACAGTCTCCAAACAGCAGTAACAGGACTATGCCCTTCAGTAGTGAATGTCCAGCAGACACTTCAAAACTGCAGCTTTTCCTGGAAATAGATTTTTACCTTTTAATTCACTAGAAATCATAGATAATCTTTACCACTTTCTCACCTTTGAGACTTTAATAACCATACTGTCTACAACCATCTTGTTCCTTTAAGTTGATTGACAGTCTCCAAACAGCAGTAACAGGACTATGCCCTTCAGTAT